CCTGATAGTTTGAGGCCATACAAACTTTTCTTCAGAAGCCAGGTGTGGCCTTCCTGCCGTTGAAATCTGGGGGCACCTCTGACGTAAATTTCTTGTTTTAGATGTGCGTGTAAATAAGCAGTTTGCACATCAAATTGAAAAATGTGTTCCCCATGTGCTGCTGTGGTGACCAAAGCAGCCCTCACACTTTCCGCTCTCACGGTGGGGGAGTATGTTTCATCAAAGTCCTGCAAGTAGCGCTGTGCGTAGCCTTGTGCTACCAGCCGGGCCTTATAGAGGAGTTTTTTGTTGGGCATTGGCTTGACCTTGTAGACCCAACGGGTGCCAATTGCTTTCCTCTTTTTGGGGACTTCCATGGGGATGGAGACTTTCAATTTTTTGAGACTGTCCATTTCCCGCTCCATTGCCACCCTCCACCTGCGCTGTTCTTCCTCGGGAAGCTGGAGGACATCTGAGTACGTTTTAGGGGCCATGGTAACGCTGTTGACTGAGGCAACACAGCCATTGTCCAACCTTTTGGGTGGCACCCCTTTATTGGAGCATTTTGATCGTCTGGGAAATTGCCACTCACCATCATCATTGTCATCCGGAGCATCGGTGTCAGAATTGGAGCTGCCGGAGGTATCTTTCCAATCAAAATGGGGCGGGCCTCTGTCCCAGGCACTGCGAAGATATGGTCGTTTAGGTGAGGCAGGAGATGTGAAGTCACCCAGGGATTCCTTGTGTGAATCGTCAGAGTCAGGTAGGGATTCATCACCATCCGGATCTTCGCTGGTCAGTTGTTTGGAGTTTGTTGGTTCATCCTCTTCAGGTGGTGCTGCTTGTTCAGTGTCGCTTCTAATAGGGGAATAACCGGGTTCATTGGAATGAATTTTTGACCAATTTGACCCCTCCTCAAAGGAAGCTGATCTAGAGACAATGACAAGGTTATTTTTGTCTACAAACCTAGAGGCCTTGCTGCCGGTTGCATAACCTATAAATCTGAGCCTCCTTGATGCCTTGCCCCCCTTTCTTCTGAGGTGCTTGGGAATATGGACCCAGGCATAGGAACCAAAAATTCTCAGGTGTGAGAGGCTAGGTTTCCTTCCATGGACCAGGAAGTATGGGGTTTGGTTAATGGCACTACTCCACGTCCTGTTGACTAGATAATTAGCCATTTTGACCGCTTCTGCCCAAAAAACTTGGCTCATGTCAGCATCTGCAAGTAGGCAGTTCATGACATTCTGCAGCATGCCATTTCTCCTTTCTACAATGCCATTCTCGGACAGAGTTCGAGGGGATGATTTAAAATGGAGGATACCTCTCTCCTTCATCCACTTTTCAAAAGTCTTGGATGTAAACTCAGTCCCCCTATCACTCTGCACCTGAGCGATGCACACCTTGTGTTGCGTTTGGATCTGGTTGTAAAGATATTTGAAGTTGGTAAAGACTTCAGTTTTGTCCTTTAAAATAAATACATGGCCATAACGAGAGTAATCATCTACTACTGTTAAAAAATAACGCCCCCTACCAAGGGAGGGTCTAAAAGGACCAACCAAATCCATGTGTACCAGCTAATAAGGGTACCTTGCATGACGGGAAGAGACCTTAGGTATAGCAGCAGTTTTAGATTTTGCTGCCTTACAGATGGCACATTCCAAATAGGTATTACAATTCTTTATCTTAAGCCCATCAGAAAAATCTTGCATTTTCTTAATAACTGGGAAGCTGGCATGGCCGAGCCTGCGGTGTAATATATGAGCACAATCCAAATGTAAAGGTTTACCCATGCATACTTTGTCAACCTTATGTATCTTACCATTACAAGCCTTAGTCTGTTCAGTAATGAGAGTAGGCACTGGATTAATGGTCACCTTAGAGTTCCTCAGGGTTGGCTGAGGAGTTGTGACCTTAATGGGCTCAGCCTTAATGGCTTTGGATGTCCTAGGAGCTGGTTTAAAAGCTTCATTGGTTTTAGGTACAGGATCCTTGAGTTTGGACAACCTGGGGGCTGGCCCAGAAACTTTCTGCTCTATCTGGGCGTTAGCTCCCTGAGCCCTCTTGTTAGGTTTCTTGTGCCTTTTAACCTTTGCTTTTGGGGAAAAATAAGGCAAATTGTTGATTTTTACAATATCGCCAACAACACCCCCACTTTCGAAAACATAACTTCCACCCTTCTCAAAAACCAGTTTTACATTTTTATCCTCAGTCAATTTTAAGATGCTTAAAAGGTTGTTCTTGATTGAGGGAACATACAGTGCCCCTGTGACATCTCCTATACCAGGCACATTGATCACGCCTTCCCCAGTTACCTCTGCCTTGTCCCCAGTGGCAACTTTTACTGAGGACTTGAGTGGGTGTAAAACCTTAAATCGTTGCTTTGTGTTGGCTATATGCGTTGATGCACCTGAATCAAGAAGCCACAGCCCCTCAGCATCCTTTACCTGGGAGGTGTGATTGTCACTAGTGACACTACAGAACTGGTATTCTTTATGACCACCTCCCCCTCTTCCACGGCCTCTTTTATTTTTATTGTGCTTAAGTCCAGCTGTGTTGGCCCTAGAGCGAGGGCACTCCCTTTTAAAGTGACCTTGTATGCCACAGTCAAAGCAGGTGGGAAGGGTATTAATCCTTTCACTTGTGTCCTGGCGCCTCCTCTGAGGCCTAGGCCTGTGATATGCCTCCTTCATTTCTTGTTGTTCCTCATCTCTGCGCCTTAAATCTTCCTCAATAAAGCGGCCAGAAAAGTATTCTATATTTCTTTGTTCCCTAGAAACCCCTTCTAGAGAAATAATAAAGGGACTCCAGGATTTGTCTAGGGAGTTCAACATCACACTAATTAAAGTGGATTCAGAAACAGGCTCCCCCCTCTGTATAAGCTCATCCCTCATGGCTTTAAGTGTTGCCAAATGTTCCCCCATTTTGACACCAGGTTTGAGTTTATAGTTGTGGAAAATTCTTGACAATCTGCTGGTTGCAGCCATATTGTCACTATGGAACAAATTATATAGGGCAGTCCAAACTTCCTGAGCTGTGAGGCCGTCTGAAAGACTGGCATACAGAGCTGTGTTTATAGAACTTAACAGGGTTGTGTAAGCTCTTTTATGCAGGAACTCGATTTCAGGGCTCCAAGGTAAAAGGGGTGGTCTTTTGATCATGTCCAGAGTATTTTCTCTTAAGAGAATTATCTGAATCTCTTTACACCATTTTTTAAAATTCTGACCACTTAAATGTAATTTTTCAAAATTATTTGGCAAAGTTACAAAATTATTGCCATTAAACTGCATGGGGAGTTGTTCAAATGGCTGAAAAGAGCCTGTTTTGAATGGCATTGGGATCCCTAAGCCTGGGATTGATTGCTTAGGTCTGGCTCCTTTTTGTAGTCCTTCTGTAGTTTGAAGCAACTGGGCACGTGGAGGAAATGGAGCATGCTCCAAAGCCTTTTCTTGTTGGAGCTCCGATCTCCCTCTCTGAGCTCTGAAGTCAGGTCTGGCTGGAGCTTCAGCATAGGCCCGAACATCAGCTGTGTGGCGGGGAAACCTTGGAGGAGTGGGAAGAAGGCCTGGAGATCTTTCTGGAGACTGGAGGCCCATCAGATGAGGTCCATGGGCTGGATAGGCCTGGAAATGTCTCTGGATCTCCTCTTCTCCATCAGAGGAGCAGGATTGCAGCTCCGGATCATCCCAGTAGGACCGGAAAAGTGCAGAGGCCTCAGCCTGGGCCTCTGTGGAGCATTCAGTGAATGGTGAGCGCCTCTGCAGTGGGGGGTGGGAGGCTGCAGGTCCATCTGGGTTCCTCCGGGGGTGGGAGGTTGGATTTGGGACCCTCCTTAAGTGGGCAGCTGGGTCTGGGACCTCGGGGCGGCCGGTGGGTGGTTGCTCCATAAGTTCCAGGGCAGCGACCAGGGCCTCTATGGCCTCTTTGATGTTTGCCTTGGCAGGCGGGGCCTGGCAAGGGGCTTGTGGGTTCGGAGTGGTCCTCTGGGCCGCTGGAATGCTGAACTGACTGGCTGGCATTGTAGGCCTGGGCTGTGGAGCTGGGGATGGCCTGGCTCGTGGTTCTGGCAAAGTGCCCAGGGGAGCAGCCATCTTGGAGGAAGTTGCCTCCGGAAGTGGCCTGGCGGCCATTTTGTTTGGCGGGAAACTGGGTGGGGGGAGTCTCTCTGGTGGTAGGCGCCATCTTGGAGAGATCAGGCAGGGGAGTCCTTACTGGGATGGCAGGCATCTCTGGTGCTGCCTCCTCAGGCCTCTTTCCGGCTGCTGCCCTTGTCTTCAGGAGGAAGGCGAGCGCTGCTCGGCACTCCTCTTCTGACATCTCAGCCACTTGCCTGTCCAGGCTTTCATATTCTCTTTCTGCCCCCTCTTTGTCAGTGCTGAAGAAGACTTCTCCAACATTGCCTGGCTCGGCCCCTGGGATCTCTTGCTGCATCTGGGTGGCCTCTGGCTGCCAGGGTGTAGCTGGATGGAAACCCCCTTCAATGTTTTCCATCATTGATTCAGACTGGGGCTGCTGTGAAGTTCTCCTCTGTTGAAGGCCTCTGGTCACAACAGGGGAGCTTCTCTCACAGGTTATTTTGGAGGGCATCTCGCCTTTTCAACAGCTCTTGGAGTGGAGTTCTGCTACCATTCCCTCTGCTACCATTCGGTGGAAATTGGGATCGTAGAAACACCCAGGAGCATAGAAGAGTCCAAAGGCAGATGCATGAATAAATGTGATAAATGTATTTATTCATATAACAAAACATATTAACTATATACAAAGGCTGTCTTAATATCCATTAGGATAGGGGGCACACAGCATGTGTGACTACCCTTATCAAAGATCATGTCTCATGGAGAACAAACGTAAAAGAGAGCATGGTGGAAAGGTTAGAGGGGGTTTTATACTCAGTGTAAGCCCCTCCTCTCCACATAGGGGTGGGGGCACTTTCTGCCTCCACTAGTGTCTGTATGATACATGTGCCAATGGCTTGCAAATACTTGACAATGTCTTCAGTGATTAATGTTGATTTTCTCTTACAGAAAAACGGTGCCCAACACTTTCTATGCCACCTAATGGAGGATTCAAGTGTGTTGATGGTGCATACTTTAATTCCAGGTGTGAGTATTATTGCTCACCAGGATATCAGTTAAAAGGAGATAGAGTAGTACAATGTATGGATAATAAAGCGTGGAGCGGAAGACCAGCTTCTTGTGTTGGTAAGTTGAAAATCATGATGATACACCATTGTATTTGGAGAGCAGTAAGAGCAGTGGTGGGCTTCAAAATTTTTAACAACCGGTTCTCTGCCCTAATCACTGGCTGGGTGGGTGTGGCTGGGTGGTCATGGCTGGGTGGTCATGTGGCTGGGTGGGCATGGCCAACTCAATGTCACTTCTTTGCTTATAAAAGATATACCAAAAGGTAGTTTATTATTTCGTGCATTTAATACTTAAATAAGAACAATAAAAGATGTACACAAAACAATAACAATATTTTTAGCTTTTTGAATACTGGCAGGAATTGTATATTTCTGGGAATCTTTTAAAACATTTTCCACAAAATCTCGATAATTGTTAATATTATTTTCGTAATTAAAGATGTCACTAAATGCAAGCAATTGTTCTTCAGCTGCTTTCCATGGAACCACCTTGAATATTCCAGTAATCTGGCTCCAAAAAATTGAGGAATTATAAATTAGTCCTGTCTTGCAATTGGCTACCTGTTTTTAAATGTTCACAGTCTATTAGTCTTTTCTTCAAATTTGTTACAATCCTTTCTAAAAGTCTTTCCTGAGGAAAACTAACAAATCAATGATTTTTGAAGGTTTCTGAAATAATTAATCAATCCACTTTTTTTTCTGTATGCACCCTTTTCCTTTCTAAGCATTTCAAATGCTTTAATTGATCTTATCACAAGTTTTTCAGCCTTTATTATATCTACATTTCTTGCTTGCAGTGCATTTGAAAGAAGAGAAATTCCATTTAGAATGTCAATCATCAATGCCAAATCAGTCATAAAATATATATTTTTGAGATGAGCAGCCATAACTTTCATTTGAATGGAAATACTGATGCAGCACTGAATAAGCGCGCCAGACAGCCAGGGTTGCCCTTAAACTACAGGCAGCCCATCTTGGTCCCAAAACTCTACCAATCTTTATAATTTCAATCCCAAATTGTTCACATATTTTGAAAAGTTCAGCTTGGCTCTTATTGGATTGATAAAAAATAGTGTATATCTTATCAATAAAATTTTTTAAATGATTTACTTGCTTTATTTCCTTTATCGAATCATCTAAAACAAGTTGGAGCCAATCAGGGGTGGGATTCAATTTTTTTTACTACTGGTTCTGTGGGCATGGCTTCATGGGTGTGACCTGGTGGGGGGGGATCATGTGACTGAGTGGGTGTGGCCAACTCAACGTCACTCACGGCAAGGTGGGGCAGCACCTTGCTGTGAGTGACCCTGAGTTGACCACGCCCATTCAGTCACATGACCCCCACCAAGCCATGTCCACCAAGCCATGCCCACAGAACCAGCAGAAAAGTTCAGCCAAGTCTTCTACCTTTCAATCTGGCTGCTTCTCTCCTCCTCAGCTTCATACACACAGAGGAAACAGGCACACATCTTATGGTGCCAGAGGGACTTGCCCACGAGCTGTTTCCTCGCAGAAGGTCCCAGTGCCATGAGATGTATGCACGCTCTGTGTGTATGCCTGAGAACGAGGAGAAGACTTGGCCGAACATTTCTGCCTCCCTTCACAGCAGAGCTGCTTGGACGGCAGCTCCTACGGCCTGACCCTTTATGGTCTGCCCTCCCCCCACATCAAAGTACCTTAAAGGGACAGGCTGCAGTGGCTGCCTTCTGAGCAGCTCTGCTGTGATGCTGTCCATCTGGCACAGAAGGCCGTTCTCCTGGCCGGGTCTGGCAATGGAGTGCGACCATGCACACGCACACATACCGGCAAGCAATGGGGAGCACATGCGTGGCCAGTGTGAAGAACAGGGCGGCAATGGCAGCAACAGGACTTCAGGCCTCTTTTTCAGTCTATAGTTTTTGGTAGTTTTTGGTGCAAGAAGCCTGCAGCCACCGCCTCTTTTTCGGCATGAGAAGCCTCCAGCCACCACCTCTTTGCCAGCTGGAACTGAGCCAGCAGCAGCAGCTGGAGGCTTCTCAGACCAAAAAAGAGGTGGCAGCTGCAGGCTTCTTGTGCTGAAAACTACCAAAAACTACAGGCCAAAAAAGAGGCCTGAAGTCCCGTCACCGCCATCGCTGCCCTGTTCTTCGTGCTGACCATGCACATGCACCCCATTGTCTGCCGGTGCTGCTCATGGCCAGACCCAGTCAGGAGAATAGCCTGCTGCGCCGGAGGGATGGCATCACAGCAAAACTGCTTGGAAAGCAGCCAAAAACTACCAGCGGCTGGAGGCTTCTTGCGAAAGGCAGCCGAGCCTTGCCCTGTCCCCCCCCCTCACCAAGGCATGGACGAAGGTGAGTGAGCCAGAGGGCAAGCAGTTGACATGCAGGCAGAGGCTCCGGAGAAGGCCATAGCCGGGGTATGGTGCATTCCCCAACCAGGACGAGGCGAACTGCGAGCAGGGGCTCAGGGAATGGTGCATCCCTGCCTCCCCCCAACCCAAGGTGAAGGGCGAGCAGGCAGCATGCTAACCTTTGGTGAGCAGAGCAGGCGAGGCATAGAGGCAAGGCGATTAGCTGGGTCACGTGGTAAAGGCAACATATATAGGGTGGTGTGGGGCTGTGTGGGTGGGGTGAGTGGGCAGGTGGGCGGGGGTGAGTGGGTGGTTGGGGGAGGGGCCAGCCAGAGGTAGTATTTGCCAGTTTGACGAACCAGTTAAAATTTCCATTACTGGTTCGCCCAAAGCGGTCCGAACTGGCTGAATATCACCTCTGGAGGCGATGGTTTATGATGTTTAGAAACTCTTTTGCTATTCTAGTGCTCACTCCAGATTTTCTCCCAAGCATAACACTGGCACCATCAGAGCAAAATCCTATTAATTTTTTTTCCAGGTAGTTCGTAGTAAACCCAACATTATTTAAACTTTCAATAACTAAACAACATATTGTCTCTGCATCTTATTTTTCTAATTCAACTAGCTCAACAAAAATTGTTGGTGAGGTAACTGGATCCTCAACTTTTAAGAAAAGTATAGCAACTGGTTTGCAAGATAGCGTTGAGTCTTTGTCAATAATCAAACATATTTTCCAAGTATTTTCAATAATTTTAGTAAATAATTTTGTTTTAATTTCTTTCGCAATGAAATCAACTATTTTCACTGCATTTTATGTGAATACAATCCTATTCCCATGTCTGCTCCATTTTGATTTGCAATTCCATCACTTCTTCCATGAATGAAAATGGCCTACATTTTTCTGCCAGGCTGTAAACTGTATTGAATATTCTACAAGTAGTACCTAAATATTTTTCAGTCATCCTATTTATTCCTTTTGTTATTGCAACCTGCTCACATTGCTTTAAGTTCTCTGTGCAAAAGTTGTGAGCTTTTGATGAAAAATGTTCTTTCATTTTTTTCCTTAGAGAAGCTTGTTGTACAGTGGTGGGTTTCAAAATTTTTTACTACCGGTTCTGTGGGCGTGGCTTATTTGGTGGGCATGGCTTGGCAGTCATGTGACTGGATGGGCTGGCTTGGCGGTCATGTAACTGGGTGGGCATGGCTTGGTGGTCATGTGACTGGGTGGGCGTGGCTAGGTGGTCATGATCCTAGTTCCCCCTACGAGGATTCCCCCATCTGGACCTTTTGCAATCCCCAAAGGGTCAAAGGTTCAGATTCTGAACCCTTAAGGCAAACCAAATACAAGTGGTCCTTGCTTAATGGCCGGTTGCTTAGCAAGTGTTCTAATTTACAACTGACCTCCCCAGAGCTACTTGACCTGTTTTTGAAGTTTTGACAGCCATGCGCGCACACACACACACACACACACACACACACACACACACACACTTATGACCAGTTACAACATCCCACACAGTCATGTGACTGAGGTTTTCTATGTTTTTTGCCAGTTTCCAACAATTCCTTCTGGTTTCCAGTTAAAAATGTCCATTAGAGAAAATGGACTTAACAACCACAGTGTTCACTTAATGACCATGGTATTTGCCTAACCCAGGGGTCTGCAACTTTAAACACTCAAAGAGCCATTTTCCTATTTTCTTTTAAACAGGTATATCTCTCTCTGTCTCTCTCTTTTCTCCCTTTCTCCCTCTCTCATCTTTCACCCTCTATCTCTATCTCTATCTCATCTCTTTTTCTCATTTTTCTGATCTCTTTCTCCCTGTCTCTCTCTCTTTCTCATCTCTCGCTCATCTTTTTCTTTCATTTCTCTCATCTCTTTCTTTCTTTCTCCCTATCTCTCTCTCATCTCCTCTCACTCATCTCTCTCTCATCTCTCTCTCTCTTTCCCTCCCCCCTCTCTCTGTTTCTCTTGTCTCTCTCTTTCCCCCCTCTCTGTGTGTGTCTCTTCTCTCTCTCTCTCTCTCTCTCTTTCCCTCCCTCTTTGTTGCGGGGGGAGGGAAAGAAACCCCTGAACTGGTGCTGGGTGGTGGGAATCTGACGTCCAGAGGCCAATGAGCCACGTACTGAAGACCAGATGGAGGCAATCCCGCAAAAATAACACATTTCTTGTCGCTTGAGCACTTCTGGTTAGGAGGAAGTGTTCATGTAATGCTATAAATGAGTTGCACAATACTCCAAAAAGCAAAAGAACCTGATTTTGCTTAACCTTTTGCACAAAATTTTAGTATGAACCACCAAAACTAAATCATTATTTTAATAAACGGGAAACTTCTATTTTTATGCAATATTCAAGATATTAGAGCAGACAAGACAAGAAATTCTGAACAACATGGGTAATTGTCTGCTTTAGTTCACATTCTTTGCTATTTTTTTAAAAAAATTAAAAGGTTACATAGCAACACCTCTGCCACAATTAACATTCCTAAATACATTTTCTTGAGAATAACCTCAATAAACTGAGGCCACGTTTCTTCTGAACGACTGCATTGTCTAGGTCAGTGGTTCCCAAACTTTTTCAGTCCATCACCCCTTTGGTACTACAAACACATCCTCAGTGCCCCCCACCCAGGAGTGGGTTCTACTTACCTTTACTACCGGTTTACAGCGGGGCCGCGCGTGCACGCTCACTTCACTCCTGCATGCATGTGCTCTTCTGCACATGC